AAAAAACCATCTATCCTAATTCGTAATGAGAAATATTGGCCCCGGAAAGTGGGAGCGCTGGTACCGTGCGGGTAGCGTAGCGCTCCGATACCACGCGTCGGCCCAATTTCACGAGGCGCTGCTGGTCCGCCACCCCTGCCAACACGACGGGGAACGGGAAGGGTTACAGCACACTCCATGACGGAGTGGAGGAGCTTTCTCATAGCTGGTAACCCACTAAGCAGTCAAGGTAGATAGAGTAGGGTAGGTAACGGTGAGACGAAGCCAACAAAAGGGAGGAGAACAACACGTGGAGCGGAAGTCAACTGAAGAACTGCCTTCCAAAGTCAATATGGGCGCGATGGCTGCTTGTCAAGTTCAAGGAAGCCAGGGGCGTCAAAGAGTGATGCCGGTGGATCAGAGAGGTGAGGAAGATAGAGTACGTGATTCGGTGGAAAGATGTTACGATGAGGGGATATGCCCTGACAATCTAGATCTGGGAGATGTGGTGGAGGATGAGGAAGGGAAGAGATACGTGGTAAACAGAGCAGTGGGCGAAATAAAAAAGCAGTGGTTAAAAGAACGTACAGTGATCTGAATTTATCAAGATGACGCAAAAAAGCTTTTGAGAGCGGTGAAAGAAGATCTCAGCAGGGCGTACGAGGATGGCTGGATGACTCAACGTCGATTCAACCCGGAGGTGAGGAGGGGGAGAATTAGCTTCGAAGGAGCGAACGTGGTCTCTTATGTGGCCAACGTGAAAGAGGTAGTGCAATGGTTGATTTATCAGGGAGAAATCAGGTTGCGCTTGGCAGATGAGGAGTAGCTCACAATCTGCAAGTCATGGATGACTCGAAACGAGTTGAAAGAGCTGCGGCTACGAGAAGCGTCAATTAACTTCTGGATCATAGCGTTGAGGGTTCCCCTGGACGCTTATTTCTACCTCAACTCTGCAGTAAGAAATATGTTCGGGGAAGTTCTGCAAGTACACCCACCGGAGTACGACAGGTCCCGCCCGAAGTTGATGAACGTGAAGATAGACATGGATCCCAGTGCAAGATATAAGGTGGAGGATGAGTCGTGGATCGAAGGCCCTACAGGCTACAGGGGAACGCTGGAAGGTGGACATAGCGACTCCCTAGATAGACTACTGCCACAAGTGTCGCTGGTACTATCACACAGAGGAGAATTGCCCGCGAACCCGACAGGAAGAAGGGACTCCGAGAAGAAGGGAGGGTGCTCCGAGGCAGGGGGGACACAAGGAAAGATTCTTACAATTTGTACTGAACCAGCAGAGAGCAGCGGAGTCAACAGAAAGAGGGAGGGGCGTGGAACAACAGGAGGAAGTCGAAAGGCCCCGGACACGGAGCTGGCACACGGCCACACAATAAAGGGAGGGAGGGAGATCAAGCGCAGAGAACAACCAGGGCAGAAGGGAAAGTCCGACTGTGCTTCAAGAGCTACCCCCGTTTCGAAATCGAACGTGGGAAACGAGGAAACCGGTCATTCTGGAAGACCAACCCATACACGTCCCGACACAAGCATGGAGGGGCCAGGAAGGTTGGAGGGAGCGTTACAGGATCCGAGAGAGGGAGGACCTGCTATGCACCCAAGCTTAGTAGCGAGAGGAGGAGGGCCAGGGCTCCAAATGAGGTGGGACCATCAAGGCTCCGAAGTCCACCGTCACACAGACCGGATTGGACGTCAGCAAGGTCAGCAAGGTCTGCCGCCCCATTTGGGTCTATGTCACCCAAGCTGCCCTCAACCACAATACCCAACTGGCCCGCTGGAATGGAGGGGTATGCCCTTCCACGGCCCGGATCGAGGGACATGGTTCCAAATAATCCACCAAATACCACCGGGCAGTGAAAGACAAGGGGCCAACGACATGGGAATGAGAAGAAGAGCAGGAGCATGGAGAAGATGGAGGGAGGAAGAGACATGGGAATCGAGAGAAAGAAGTGGGAGAGAGGAAAGGGGCAGAACAGAAAGATTGGGAGGCACAGGGGGAACAGAAGACCTTGGGCAAAGAACAGGAAGATAGGGAGATTGGGCTCAGGGGGAAGAGGAGGCTCACTGGCGGATAGGACAGAGCGGAGCCAGGTCGGGAGGAATGCGAGAGAGGGGACTCCAACCTTACATGTCAAGAACCCCGACATCTTCCCAATTGAGGATATAGATGGGAAGTGAGTGGTTGGGTGAAGATAGCACAGACGAAAGGGGGGGGGAAATCAGGGTTCGCAATAAACATGGAAAGATCAGTGGACAGTTCGACAAACTCCAGGAAACAGATAGAAGAGAAGAGCATAAGTGCAATAAGGCCAGAGAGAGATCGAAAAGCGGATACAGCACACATGAGCCAAGTGGACTCGACGGTGGCCAAACGCTGCCTAATCCCGCTGCTCTACACAATGGCAAATGATGGGATCTACTTCCTGGCGGTAGCAGGAGCCGACGGCCAAGCAAGGATACCGTCAGAAGAGGTTGAGTGCTCGCCCACTCCAACACTGATTATGGAAAGGACGAAGAACACGTATGAAAATCACGTGCCAATTCGGATTATTCCAAGAAATACACATTTCGTAAAAACTGAACTTTTAAAAAAAAAGTGAACTATTTAGAATGTGAATGAATACACTGTACATTGGCCAATAGGGCCTTATGCGACACTTTAAGTGAGGATAAATTGTCCGTATATGTAGTGTTGATGGGGTGAATGTTGTGGTGGGGCGTTTTGAGCCCTTCGTACATGAATAATCGTTATTAAATGTGAATTAATAGTGTATAAAATGGGTTCCCGTCCTGTCTTGGCTAGGTACAGGGAACGACACTGCAAAACATAAAAGGGCGAGGGCTCTTTGTAAGACGACATCTTGTTGTCCTGGATAGGTGTAAGGAACGACTGTGCCAGTCGCACTACACGATATAGGGCAGCGGCTATCTGTATGACAATTTGTTGGGTATGTGGTACCTATGTTCTATAAAAGGTCAGGGGTCCGGCGCCCGACACCTTGCAATTTGATGGACTGAACCCGTCAACTGTGGTCGGGTGGTGCACTGACCAACCCGCAACCCATCACTACCCCTGCAACAAATGTGTTCGCCATTTTCCTTGGCGGGAGGGTCTCCTTCTTGGGGTGACAAATAATAGTTAAACATCGCATCAATTCGTAGTTATCGGTGTTCGATAGAGCACCTTAAGGAAGTGCCAAACGGTCGTTGGCTCGCTGTGCCGATTGCCAATAGCACTCTTAGGGAGCCTTGATGCTGGTCTGATCTGTTTGGCGATCCAACACTTTGAATAAGTGTCAAACAGTTAGTTGGTTGTCTGTGCGGATTGCCATAAACACTCTTAGCCTTGATGCTAGGTTCAACTTGATTCAGGGGAGAGAGAGAGAGAGAGAGAGAGAGAGAGAGAGAGAGAGAGAGAGA